ACGGGGTTGGGTTAGTGACTATCGAAAATTATCACTGGGGACCTAATCACAAGGATCAACACAGCTTAGGGGGGATTAAGGTCAGCTTTGGCTGACTTCATTGCATGTGTGAGGTTGTCACCTCTGACTTTCCTCAATAGCCCAGAGGTGTGTTTGGGGATGTGGGCGCTGTTTGGCGCAACTAAAATCCGGTTGGGTGTCTTCTCAAGTTTGCATGATATCATGACTTCATTTAACACAAAGTATAATGTTATCTTCTTAAGTTTGATATCATGACTTCATTGTGTCTACTAACACAAGGCATAATGTTGTCTTCTCAAGTTTGTTTGATATAATGACTTCATTGTGTCTACTAACACAAGGCATAATGTTGTCTTCTCAATTTTGATATAATGACTTCATTGTGTCTACTAACACAAGGCAGAATGTTGTCTTCTTAAGTTTGATATAATAACTTCATTGTGTTTATTAACACAAGGCAGAGAGTTGTCTTCTGAAGTGTATTTTATATCATCACTTTATTATGTTAATTAACAGAGGGCGATACTTTCATCCGTGTTTGTACATCGTGCACACAATACTGTAAATACATAACTAGAAGAACGCAAATAAACTGAATTTTCTACTCGAAAGTTCTAATTGCAACAAACAAGAGCAATCAAAATTAACTACTGGTGCAAAGCGACTATTACTTTCGTGAAAGGACGAAAATTGACGTTAATAGAACACATCTATATATATAATTCTCTTCTGGGAGCCGTTAGAAAACAAGCTGCAAGCGCCTCCTTGCAGTCCCTTCTCTTTCTCTCTATCACTATCACTACCACCCCCACCCCACCCCCACATTATCTGGTGAGCGGTGTTCACTCTAAATGTTTACAAAGCTAAATGTTTACAAATCGTAGAGCCGTAGAGCCGGGTTTCTATTAGGGGCAGATAATTTAGTTCGATTTTAAACTTACAGGAGGTAACTAAGAAATAACTAAGAGGAGGCTGCTTTCACGGGGGGGGGGGTGTAGGGTCGAGGTTAGGGGAAAGGGGGGGGGGGTAGTGTTTTAAAGCAAATATTTTCAGTGGCAGCATTGGTACTGTCGAATTCACAAATTATGAATTACTGAAAAGTAAAAAATAAAACAACTAAATAGCGGCGTATGATACGCTGCGGGTCGGCTCGTATACAATATTTTGTACATACAATTACAAAAGCAATATACACAAACAACGATAAATTGAGGACTAGGACATATTATGTTATTGGTGGTAAAATTATTTGCTTGATTTGTTTGTTAAGATATTTTTTGACGTTATCTGCGTTGAATAGGTGCATGTGATTTGCTAAGTTTACACCACATGCAATGAAAAATATTTTTTTTTTAATTTTTATAGTCTTTTTTTTAAAAAATATTCAAACATTAAATAAAAATTCATGAAAACTAATTAAATTTGAGATCATTCAACACAGCTATTTAATAATAGCCATGATGGGTTATTAAATATTAATTTAGTATTTTTTTTTAAATGCATTCTATGCGTTTTTTGAAGGTCATATTCGAAAAGAATTTTTTTGGAATTGTTCACAACATCGCAAAATATTATACTCTTTTTGAAAGTTCTTTAATGCTAGTTTTCTTTTACAATAAGGTAAAGCTATTAGGTGCAAAAATTAACCCGTTTCAAAGGAGCTCAATTTGATCAAGAAACTTTGTTAAATGTTTTTATCATTATCATACTTTAATCAACTGAGTGGATCAAATTTACAATTAAAATTTTACAAACACAAAAAAACGCACTTTTATATCTTCTTCAAAACTATCTCATTGCAAAAATAGACCAGATTTAAAATACTTTTAATAACGCTAGAAAGTATATCTGAACATATCTATCACACAATCCTGTGAAGTATCAGTTTCTCTTATGTTGTACCTTAAGTAAAAAATTACACCTTGAAGTTTGTTAACAACTCGTAGTCTGTTATGTTTTAACTAGAATTCAACATCTTTTCGTGTTCGTGTCCAATGCACACGAGGCAGATGAAGTAGAGTTCATCTGTTTCAGAGACATCTGCATATATATGGATAGTGTGACCAGCCGCCTTTGTTTTACCTAACGTGAGTTAGGTACCCATCAGAACTGGGTTGAATCAAGGACATTTTACTGACTTGAACCTGAATTCGAAATCCAGACATTCGAGTTGGCAGCCTTGGTATCTACCGCTTGGCCACGCTATCCTATGTTAACTAAAATTACTATAATGTAAGTAAATCTAAACTTAAGATTAGCTTTAACACTCGATCTTAACGTCAGGCTTTCTAGTTACTAGTCGTAAGCTCTACCATACGACCAAGCCATTCCGGAACTTAATAGTTATACCGGCCAAAAAAAAAAAGAAATTGAAGCGGTACTGTATTATCATGCTACCATTTTTAACCACCCACTCGACTCACTCTGAATGCGCATCGATGACATTTACCATCGGGAATACCCTATAAATCCTACGCATGTGCACCGGGCTCTAGTGAGCTAGCCGGCCATTGTGACAAGTCTATTCCTGGATCACTTTGTTTCCTTCTGAAAATTTACGCCGGGCGTCAACCTGGAAGACATATATCGCCGTGGCTCCTTAATTCGCCTGTCTGCGACTCTGATGCTGGTACCACCTGTCGGAGATTTTGCTTTTTAAAAATTGCCGTGCCCAGACAATGGATTTAATGTGTCAGCCTGTCCTGGAATACGAAGGATTTCAATACATTTTGTTTTTATTTTTTTAGTTCGGAAGCGATAAGTGAAAAAAAAAAAAGTTAAGCGTAGCGAATGCTTCTCTGTTGGAATGTTGGTCGTGCCTGTAAAATTGGTCAAATCTGGTCGAAAATTGGACGTGTCTATGTGAATAGTGGTTTGGTCCAGAGGCGTAGTGAGGAGGGGGGGGGGGGGGGCGGGGGTGCGGATCGCACCGGGTGACACCATTTAGGGGGGTGTCACCAAGGGAAAAAATAGCAAAATATATAGAGAAAAACTTGAGGGGGGGTGCAAAACGAAAACTAGAGGGGGGGGGGGTGCAAATCAAAAGTTTGAGGGGGGGGGGTGCAAATCGAAAATTTGAAAATTTATCCCCGGGAAGGGTCGCGACGCCTCTGGGGGGTGACACCATTAAGTGCCGCTCCGGGTGACACCCGACCTCGCTACGCCACTGGTTTGGTCATCGTGAATGGTCGAATAATGGTTGTTTATGTTCACACAAAAAAATGTCAAAGAACTGATCCACTGCTGTAGTTTTACAAAACTTTAGTTTCCTATTGAAGAAATACCAACATAATAATTTTTGGCCCAGTGGTAAGAGTTACGATGTAAGTCGAATTTTTCTTCTTCGTTCTTAATTCTACTGTTAGAAGGGTTTCCTCTAACACAATTAATAATTAGCCTGGTTTCCTTTTTGGATTTGCTTCCATAGCCTTTGCCCAACCAAGAACAAACTACAAGGCAGTTGTTTGATTTCGGAGTTGTCTCCTAGAAGAGCGGCTACCCGAGGGTTCGAACTCGAGACCTTTCGGTTTAGCAACCATGAGCTTTTACTGACTCGACCACGCTGACCCCTAGTAGAATTCTACCTTTAATTATTTCTATGAGACCACTACAAGGACATAGATGGTTAACTACGTTCTCCGCAGATTGTATCCGATTTAAAAGCAGCGGTTAGATTAAAGCATGGTAGACACAGAGACTTTCATCGCTGAACATATTGCGTTTTTTAACTCTTTATTAATATTGTTAACAAAACATTTTTTAAACGACATGACGGAATTTTGTTTAGTGTCCCATTTTAACTCTCTGCCAGGTCAACAGGTGAATAGCGTTCGTCAAGAGCTATATTCACAATTTACATCAAAAACATAAACCTAGCGGTATTTACAGACGGTTTATAGTTATAGAATACTAGAAATTTAACAGCTAATTTAAAACAATGTTCTCTATAGCATGTCAAGAGGTAAATGAATTCAACCGTAGAGTATTTAGCCACTCAGAAATATTCAATGGCTGATTCTTGTGCGTAGATGTCCATTGAAAAGCAAACTTGCCATGTCAATTATACAAGCGTAATACGCACAATCGAAACTTTGAAAAGGGTAAACACAGAAAGGTTATGGTTTAGTGTAAAGAACCTATTTTGCTTTATGGAGGAATGCATTTAATCACTAAATATGCAATTCATTCACCTTACTTAACTCACCATCGTCTTCATTATTCTCGCTATTTCTGTTAGGTAGATATTTATCATAATATTATATTTTTTTAGAAAAACGGGGCGTTTGTTTTGCTATCGGATAAAAAATGCGTGTGCACTTAAGCGTGTAAATGTTTCTTTGTATGGCGGTTTATGTATGTTTGTTTGTGCGTGTACGCGTGCGTGTGTGTGTATGTGTGTGTGTGTGTGTTTATGTCTATATACATGCACCTGTGAAGCATTTGTTCCAGTCGACTTCATCGTTTCACAGCCATTGTCCCAAAGCAAATGTTTTATTTTTTCAATCATTTGACCAAACTCCAATATCGTATTTCAAATCTATTCACGTCCCCACCCGTTTAATTGAAACACAACAGGCCCCTCTTCTCTCTCACGCTCTCGCTCGCATAAATTACTGCTCATCCACGGCTCATTACATACAGCTCCTAACCTAAATTTTACTCTGCCTGATAGGTTTATGTCCCCTACTTTTCCCCCCACACTAGCCGCCTAACCCGCGAAACCAAACAGCGAATTCAAGCGATCGTATCACAAAATGGAATGAGTGTGGTAAGCCAGACGGTAGGGGGTAGGTGGGGGGTGAGGGGTAGGTGGTGGGGGGGGGGGGGGGGTAGGGGAACTGAATGGATTAAGAGTGAGCGACACTTGGCTCACTCCGCATGACGCGTGGCGAGGATTAAGCGCACGATTGCTAAGCAAACTGTTACGTTTCTGCATTCGATTTTTTGTTTTTTTGTGTCGTCGAAATGAAGAAGTGAACGCGGGGATGTATATTTGACAAGCACAGGGCACACGCATTACAGGTGAACTTAAAACAAGTTAGAGTGTTGACGTCGATTCTGTGACTTGCTGTTGCCGTGTCAGTTATACAAGCGTAATACGCACGATCGAAACTTTGAAAAGGGTAAGTGTATCTCAGAGTTAAATACTGTTTGTTTCTCTTCTTCCGGATCACTTTCTCTCTCTCTCTCTATCAATATACACTCACACATACATACACACACACGCACACACACACACACACACACACACACACATATATATATATATATATATATATATATATATATATATATATATATATATATATATATAATGTGTTTGTGTGTGTGCTTGAATATGCCTTTTACTGAGGACAGCTAACCGTTACCACATTTGTTTCCAATTAGGTTTATTACTTTCTCGTATACAGAGTATAGAGGAAGTATTGTAATCGTTCACAAAAATCACATGAAATTTTGACAGTTTTCCCCGTTTTACACTTCAGCACTTCATCATATACTAAGTATAGGGTACTTATTTTAATCCGCAAAATAATAAATCCAGATTTATACACATTTAGGAGTTTTATGCGTAATCGAGTAGTAAAAAACTGGGTTTTGCAATTCGGTCCGTATGTCTGTGTGTGTGGATATATGTATGTGAACACGATAACTTGAGTACAGTTACAGCTAGATTGATGAAATGTTTTATATAAGTATTATATCAAATTGTAGTTCTGTATCAGATTTTCGGCGATTTCCGGTAACCGGAAATGGGATTTTTTTTTTAAATTTCAATTTTTCAAAGCCTATAACTTGAGTACTAATTCAGATAGATAAATGAAATTGCATATGTAAGTAAAAGATCTAATTCCAAAAGTACATGTTCAAAAACTCTGCGTTGTTTCGGAAGTATATCCTGCTCAATGAAATTGTAGCTTAGCCTTTTGTTTTCAAAAAGTAAAAATAGTATAATGTAAAATCCTATTATGTTACCATAGTTTTGGCATTTGTTATTATGATTTAAGTTCGAGAATGATCCACCATTTTCTACCAGTGATCATTTACCTGTGAAGAAAATAATATTTACAATCGTTAAGCCCATATCTCTCGTTTATCCTAGTACCATCCTCACTCTTAAAACAGCAACAACAATGAAAAAAAAAAGTTAATTAGCGTGTTGGAACATTTTTAATCCCCAACCATCAGATAAAAGATGTGACGTTTGCAATAACAAACACCGATGGCAGATTCATAATTAATTCATCTTAATTGCAAATAAAAATTTAAAAAATACAATAAAAAAGATACCGATAAAAATGTAATTACAATTCAAATCAGGTTATCGCTAAGGGGCTTGATTGGCGGTTGTATTAGACGTGGTTCTCACGCAGAGCGGAACTACGTGCAAATAATTAGAGTCTGTTCTTGTCTTGAGTGCACGTGCCTGTTGTGTGCTCACGGTTGATGAAGGGTTAAACAAGATAAATACTGTAGGGTGGGCAGGGGCGTAGCGAGGGGGGGGGGCATACGTCCCCGGGCGCCGACCTTGGGGGGGCGCCAAAATGGGTTGGAAAAACAAATGGAAAGTTTGAGGGGGGTGCAAGTCAAAAGTTTGAGAGGGGGGGGGGTGCAAATCGAAAGTTTGAGGGGGTGGGAGCAAATCAAAAGTTCGAGGGGGGGGGGGGTTAGAAATCGAAAGTTTGTCACCGGGCGCCGGGAAGGGTTGCTAAACGCCTCTGAGGGTGGGCAGTTTTACAAGGCACATTTGATTCTTGCTTGGTGATTGCTCTTTTAGAAACCAGTTGGGGTGGAAGATGTTAAAGTAGAGGAATAGTTCACTTTTCAGACATAACGATTCATTTTGAACATGAGCAATAGACAAATTTGTTTTTACCTCGGTTTATGTGGGGATACTGTTGTCAACTTGACGGTTACTCTTTTAGAAGCCAGTTGAGGTGGAAGATGTTAAAGTAAAGGAATAGTTCCATTGAAAATATTAAGAAGAGACCATTTCGCTTTTACCTTTGTTTATGAAGGGATGGTGTAGTAGACTTGATGGTTACTCTTTTAGAAGCCATTTGAGATACAAGATGTTAAAGTCAAAGTTCCCTTTTAGACATAACGGTCGTTTGGGAAGATGAAGAAGAGACCATGTAGTTTATATCTCGCTTAATGAAAGAATGGTGTAGTCAACTTGAGGGTTATTCTTTTAGAAGCCAGTTTTATTGGAAGATGTTAAATTCAAAGTTCCCTTTTTAGACATATCAATCCATTTGGAAGATGCGGAAGAGACCATCTAGTTTTTACCTCGGCTTATGAAGGGATAATGTTGTCAACACTATGCCCAGCCACCTTTATTTCAACCACGTGACTCACTGACCCACCAGTGCCGGATGGACTAAGGAACACTTTACAGCCTGAAGTCCGGACTGAAGTATGAACTCGAAACTTTAGGGGTACCAGCCAAGTGCTCTATCACCCAGCCACGCCATCACACATCTGAAGTAGTATCTGGCAGATGTAGCAATTTTATGTTTCTGTGAAATCCGATGCTGTAGGCGTTTGCGTGCAGCTATTTGTACAGTAGTCATTTCCTCCCAAAGAATGGAGTAAACATCTAACTATCTGTCCTAAAGACTGGAGAGTTAGTAATAAAACAGATAGTGTTAGTTACCTCACAAGTTAAAGACAGTTACAAGTACTATGGACGTTTCGACCCAAGGTCTTTGTCAGTACACAACCGTGTGGTTACAGATTAGACAAATAAAGACAAACAGTAACACAACTTTGGACTTAGCCCCGACAGTGTAAACACGTCTTGTCTACAAGCCGCGATATCCAAAAGAAAAGACGCGTGAGAAGGACGCTTGGACACCGTATAGGGGTGGGGTTCCCACTGCAGCTACCATTTGTTTTTAAAGACTGGAGTAAACATCTAACTGTTCTGAAGACTAGAGTATGGTAGGAGCTTGACACTTTCACGTTAACTACACTGAACTGTACTCATCGACCAATCAACCGCTTTCTTATACGCACAATAACATCTATGTTTATCATACTTTCTTTTTCGAAAAAGAAAACAAGAATATTTTGTAGTAAAGCAACAATAGGGGTCTATATCTCCTGAGAATCGGGGGTCATTTTGTCAGTTGTCTAGACGTCGGGGTCACACCATCCCGGATCGTCAGGGGCTGGGTCAAACACATCAATGTCAAAACGCCGTTGATTAAAATCCTCGTTTTGTTGTCTGTCGAAATGCCATTGGTCAGATAGACAGGTCAAAGCTGTCTGGACAAATAAACTTTGTGTTGAAATCTCTGTGGATATATCTGTCTGATGCCAGATATGAAAAGAAAAAAGAAAATAATAGTGGTGATTTAGAAAACACGACTATCCGATAAAAGATGTAAATGTCACAATATGAAAATTAATTTTTTTTTAAATTAAAAATAATTTATAAACATAGAGTCAAAACAAATAAAAAGGATGTTGTCATCTTTAAAATTAGCCCAAATTCAAATAAAAATAATAACTTTCTAATTATAAATAGCCTACATAATACAATCATTTCGATCATTTTGTATTAATTTTGCAACGACAAAATAAATGATCGCATTTACATCTATTTAGGGGTTAACAGATTATATAACAAATTAAACTTCTATTTAAAGAAGCATACTGAAAATGTAATATCTTATATACAATATTTTAGGTAATAAATCATGAATTTTTCCATACAAACTATCAGAAGCTGTCTGAAGCCATGCTTTAGATTAACGTCAAATTAATTAAATTTTCAGGAAAATAATTCCAGATGTTCTCTTGATAATTCACTGTGACCATGTGTAATCACATTGTCGTGCCACTAGTCTAGAGTTCGAATCCGTGGCTAAATTTTGTAGAATATCAAACTCCCAGTTTTTAGTTGTGAAGTAAAGATTCCTCTTTAGACCTAGCGATCCATTGGGAAGATGAAATAGATTTCATATTTTTCTTGAACTCGGCATCCCCCAAGCCGTCTTTACTTTCCCCCAACGTAATTCATGTACCCATCATAGCTATGACGCCCTACATGCACACGTCGCTACCGAGCTCCGAACTCCAGAGTTTTGGGTTAGCAGCCAAAAGCTCTACCATTCTACCAAGTCCTTCCGCAATAGATATGTGTAAATCTCTTAAATTAAGGGTTTGTAAAGTTAGCATGACATAGTGTTTCCCTTTATATTTAATGGTATGCCCAAGTCTAACAAAAAAAAAATAAGCTAAGCGTCGCCTGCCACAATGTAAAGTATTACTCGCATGCTTCGGAGGAGATTACACTCCAATGACGGCTTATGCATTAGGCTTATCAACATCGTGCAATGTTATTCACCCGAAGGATTAAGTAGCTCTAACAGATGTTCTACGACTTCGTAGGTTTTATTTGGATCATAACTATATAAAGTAAGATATATGTGTATAAATAAATAAATAAATATATATATATATATATATATATATATATATATATATATGTATATATATATATATATATATATATATATATATATATATATATATATATATATATATATATATATATATATGTATATATATATATATATATATATTGCGCCTATGGTTCCATGACAAATGATCTTAGACAAAATATCCCTGACAAATGATCTCAGGACAAATGATACCATGGACAAATGATCATTTGTGCTGTCACCAGTCCTATATATCAAAGGTGCTTTGTACGTTTGGTTTTTGCTAACTTTTGATTTTTATGAATGATACGCCTGATTTATTTTAGAATAATATAAAATGATGACTCCAGGCAATCGTTGTGTGGAAATTTGTGTGGCTTTTTTATTCAGTTGTAAACGTGAAAGAGATACTAGTGATCCATGAACTACTACAAGCCTTTGTATGATAAATCAAATGAAATCTGTTCAATTATTTAAAACATTTACGATAGCTATATTACTAACAAAGTAACTGATCAATACCGTTTAAAACTCAAGGTATAATAAAAAAATATGACATATTCGTCAAAAACAGACATATGTACTGTAAGAAACAGGAAATGATGAGAGTCATATGAAGAAAAAAATTACAACTTTTAACTTGAAATAAAGAGACGTGAAATTTATTATGT